TTGATTGTCTTATTTAGAAATGGGCTGAAATTATCGGGCAGGCGCGTCAAAGTGTGGATTTCTTAAAAGATCCGGATGTAATAAGGGCAGTGCTTAATATATTGCAGGTCCGTTTCTGAATATGCATTGGGTGCAAACATGTATTGCAACGAGTTTTAATCTAATAGCCTCTGCTTACAGAACAGTTGTAATCATATGGCACATAAAGATTGCTTTTTCTGGTACTGTTATCTTATGGAGCCTCTCTCTCTCTCTCTCTCTCAACTCCAATAAACAATTAAGAAAGAAGAGCACGTTGTCATGTGTGACTCTTTCGAATAAAACTGTTACTAGTTAATTTAACAATGGAAGACCAAAGCGCTGACTTTAATAAGGTTTTAGATAATGTAAGTTATCATATTTTTCTTAATTTGTCCTGGTCCACTATAATTTTTGAGCCATACCTTTTTGCTTGCAGACAAATACTAGTGTTGCCAGCTCTCTTGGAACATATTTCCTGCCACAAATCTCTCTTATCTTTTTGGACATGCTCAATGTTTACAGGTGTTTTTGGATTTCGTAGCACCTCTTTCTGTTATTGTTGTTTCCATCTTTTTTTTCCTCCTTATGATGACAATTTTGTTTAAATGCAACAGAATGTACAGTGAACTTATATCTACCAGTATTGCTCAAGGAGGACCCTATGCTTCCAGATCATCTATAGTGAAACTGTTGCGGTAGGTTTTCAATTTTGGAACTGCATATGCTTTTGAGTTTGCTTTTATATTTATCTGGGTCATGCCAATTTTCAACAGCTCAGTCAAGAGGGAAACACTAAAGCTGATTGATACCTTTTTAGACAAAGCTGAAGATCAACCTCATATTGGAAAGCAATTCGTGCCTCCAATGATGGACCCTGTTCTGGGTGACTATGCACGGAATCTGCCTGATGCGAGAGAGTCCGAAGTTCTCTCACTTTTTGCCACAATTATAAATAAGTATGCATGCTTTCCTCTGGCTTTTGTGTTTAGTTGAATAGCATTGCAGATCCTCTGGCGGTATTATAGATTTTGGTGGCCCTCTGTGTGTGTACTTACATGCATAGGACAGTGGTGAGGATTATAATTTTGTAGTGTTTTATACACTTAGTGCGTCTAGTGGATTTTGGTTCGTATAATGTGTGATGTTAATGCTTATTGCTATTAAGTATTGTGCTTGCTATTATGTTATCAAATATTGTAATTATTCAATTGCTTTCTTTAAGGTATAAGCGAGCGATGATTGATGATGTTCCTCGAATCTTTGAAGCTGTTTTCCAGTGCACCCTGGAGGTTTGTAAATTATTTGTTGTATATTATTTGGACCTTTGTCTTCTGTGCACTTGTTTGTAACTTAAGTTGAAGTGTGGCCAAATTTTGTTTCATATTTTAATTGTTTTTGTTGCAGATGATTACTAAGAATTTTGAAGATTATCCCGAGCATCGGCTCAAGTTCTTTTCATTACTTCGAGCCATCGCTACCCATTGTTTTCCAGCTCTGATCCACTTGTCCAGTGAAGTATGTAGTTACATCAAACAAAGTTAGCTGAATGTTTTGTCCATTTGTCTTATGGATTTATTCTGCCTTCTTTTGTTCTACTGCTTTACGCCAGCAACTGAAACTTGTCATGGACTCGATCATTTGGGCCTTCCGTCATACTGAGCGGAACATTGCGGAAACTGGGCTCAATCTTCTATTAGAGATGCTGAAAAATTTTCAGGTGTGCTAGATCTGCTTCTTTTATCTGTTGCATTATAATAATTTTTTCAATGAAGATTTACAGTTTACATGGGTGGCTTGGCAGGCATCCGAGTTTTGCAATCAGTTTTACAGGACATATTTTTTGACAATAGAGCAAGAAATATTTGCTGTTTTGACAGACACCTTCCATAAGCCTGGCTTTAAGCTGCATGTCCTCGTACTACAGCATTTATTCATCCTGGTACTGTAACTATTCTCATACATGCTCTTATCATTATATATTTATTTGGTATATTTGTTTTCAATTGTTAAGTTCGTTGATTCCTCTTTACCAGTAAGTTTGCTACTTACAATTAGCTTTTTGTTACTATAATAGGTGGAAACTAGTGCATTGACCGAGCCCTTATGGGATGTTGCCACTGTTCCTTATCCCTATCCAAATAATGCCATGTTTGTCCGTGAGTACACTATCAAACTTTTGAGTACATCTTTCCCCAACATGACAGCTGTTGAGGTACTGAAGCATACGTGTATTCTTTGTTTTTTTTTTTTGCTTATTCAGTTATTCTCGTGTGCATCTTGATCTATAGCTCACCTATTTTTGTACCTTTTTAGGTGACACAATTTGTGAGTGGTCTTTTTGATTCGAGGACTGATCTTCCATCATTCAAAAACCGTATCAGAGACTTTCTTGTGCAGTCCAAAGAATTTTCTGCTCAGGTGAAGTCTCACTCAGAATTGCTATTGTTGGTTCCGAATCATAGCTGCCTTTCACGATGATTTCATCCTTATATGCTTATGGCTATATTTGGTAAACGTAGCTGAAATAAAAATTTCAATGGGCTTGTTTGAAAAGCTACCCATGGAAGCTTATGAGATAAATTCGAGCTTTTTTACCAAATCAAGCTTATTTGAATACACGAAGCTTATAAGCTAATTAAATAAGCTATAAGCTAGCTTATATGCTTACCCAACACAACCCTATACCTATGTATGTTGTAAATGCACACACTCACACACACATATAACGTTCACTCCCTTTAATTATGCAGGACAACAATGATCTTTATGCCGAGGAGACTGCAGCTCAAAGAGAAAAGGAACGGCAACGAATGTTAGCAATCCCAGGACTCATTGCTCCCAATGAGATACAAGATGAGATGGTCGACTCGTAAAATTGTTAGGTAATTTTGCTGCCAGGGCCAATTTTGTGGGATTATTTTATCCTCTTTTTTTTTTTTAAAAAAAAAAATGATCTCTAGAAATTAGACCTGTGCATTTTACGGGGCTTCTATTTGTCTAGTTTCTTCCCTTCTTCTTTTCCAATCAATTTTTAGGATAATTTTATCATGTGATGGTGGAGCAGTTTGAGGCAGAATGGAACTCTATTTTGCTGGTGGTAGAGAGTATTTTAGCTTCTAATGTAGGGGGAATGAGATTTCTGAATCTGTTTGTCTCATGTATACGACTGACATTTGATGGGTTGTGAGGAGATTTCTCTATTCATGTCAATTGGTACATCAATGTGTTCTTTAGATACAAACGTTTTTCTTTATCTGTGTTTGTATATAAATTATCGAACTCATACTTAATTCATATTCAAAATCTAACTAAACTGTAACATAATCTCACTATTTTTAATATTATCATCATAATTAAATGATATCAACCAATTATTCTTACATATCACATCAATTTTAATACACTATTTATTCTTTCACATAATTTTAACTAATCATTATTTTACATCATCTCTTTCTTACTTTTATATTAAATTAAAATTTAATTAGTTTGTTATAAATAATATTTTAATATAAATTAAAAATCTCACCAACAACTAATTATACCATTTTTTTTTTAGAATTATCTCTACTTAACAAAAAGATTCATTTTCCTTGGGCTAATTTTCCTTAAATTACGAGATAATTCTACAATGATTGATTTTATATCAAGCTTTTGATGGGTAATGGTAAACATTGTGAACAAACCTTCTCTTGAGACAAAGAAAGATTTGAGAGCTTTACATTGTATTTGTTGTCTTATACTTAGCATATGGATTCATAAAAACAAGATATTGATGTTTCTTAGTTTCTAAATTTAATCAAATAATTAAAATATAGTTTTGGATTCAATCTTCAATAAAATATATTTGAGGTTCCCATCAAATGTTGTTCCTATTAAATTCACTCCTATTGAAGAAAAAAAAAAACAAGTAAATTGATTAACCTTAATTTTTTTTATTCAATAAAATAGGACTAGTTCCTTTTTATTTCCAAGAATTTGGCCTGTAGAAGTAGAGAAATGATTCGAAGTGATGATTAGTAAAAAAATATGAGTGGATGAATAATGAATTAATGTTTTTTTAATAGTGAATTAATGTTGATGTGGTGTGTATGAATAATTGATTGATATTATTTAAGTATATGGATAATATTAATGATAGTAGAGTTAAGTTAAAATTTAATTAAAAAATGCGAGTGAGTTATATTTTTTTTTTTT